GTACTCTTAATTCAAATCACATCTTTTTGCATCTATTTTTGGATTTGGATCCATTTTACGCTGTATCCTGTTTGGGAAGCGCCTACAAAGAATTTGCTCCATTTTCAATACCCATTTCGACCAATTCTACGTTCCAGGACTGCATAGGACACATGCAACAAAAGATAGCTCAATGAGGAAACCAAACATTTTAACTGTTCATTTTGAGCAAAAAATTGTTCGCCTACAGCCTTTTCCCGCGGGCAGCAAACTGTAAGTGGTTCTTTTTTCTTTTTACGTAATCATTAAGACAAATGAACTTTTTTTGGCTTAAGGCCTGTTCCTTGCGGAAGGCCGCTTTTGAATTTGGCAAAACATAAACATTCATGAATCTACGTTTTGAGTAAGAACAAAGCGATAGTCATCATTCGATTTTGGCCTTATGCAAATGAAGATTGATTGCCATTAAAATATAATAGAGTTAACATGCGAAGGAAATAACTCTGGTCGCTTTTGATACTCGTCACGTTACTATTGCATGTTTGTCTACGATTGGGAATACCCCTCATGTAGCCTGTCTTGCCTTCACCAAGGGGGCAGGGGTGGGGGAAAGTTAGATATATGGGAAACCTCTTCTCTCTAAGATCTGCTGGAGGCTATACACCGAATCCTTGCATATTCGCTCATTACTTTGTACTTTGACCAAGCCATTGCAAAGCAATTAATGGCGATTTTGATTTTAGTTCCCACTTTTCACAGTTTTCATTCAGCGCCTAAAAGCACCTGTTAATCAGATGGAGAGGTTATGTATATGTCATCGTTATTGTGGTTGTTAGTTTTCTTGCGCGTAATCCTATCCTCGTCTGGTTGGGACACAAACTGCGAGAGAAGTTTTTTTGTTGAATTCTCCCTTAAAAACGAATTGACTTGGATTTAAAACTAAGAAAAATAAGATAATTTTATGCGAAGAATATAGACAGAACAGAAAAGGCTTGACTGAGGCCAGAGTGTCTTCTCCATTACAACTCCTTCAAAGTATTGCTTTACTGCTCTAAAAAATCTTGCTTACACTAATTGAGCTTGAAACCCCGCAAGTTAGTGTATTGTAAGATACTATTATTCATTTCTATGAAAATCACGTAATTGAAAACCTGCAGATAATGTTTCTGTGAAAAGGAGGTCATATTACAATGCTTAGGGAATCTTTGTTCTTCTTACACTACAACATCTCCGTCTGATCAAGTGAAACTTAAATAGATGGACCACAAGCGGCCCAAGGTCCAGCTGTGAGATGATCATCTTGCGAAATAAGCATCATGGCGAATTTATGAGAGTTTGTATGGAATATTTACGACCGCTCCTAGGAATAAAAAATACAGTCAAATTCTCAATAAAAATACCTCACATTACTTCTACACTGAATCGCTTGTTGTCTGACCGCTTACTATGTTGAAGAGAACCCATTTCAGCGAGTTATACATTTCTAGGTTTACTACAATATATAGATTTAGCCAAGCCTAAAAGCGGAGCTCGCATTTTTTTTTTCCCGCACTTCTCAAGAGAACCCATTTCAGTGAGTTATACATTTCTAGGTTTACTACATAAGAGAAGCCCAAGGCGGCAGTCCATTTCCGAACACTCGATCCGAGGAGTGAAAAATGCAAGCTGAAACGACCGGGTGGGCACAAATCCAAGGTAGAGTCCAAGCACATATACTGCAGTTTCATTTCAATTCACTACCAATTCAATCCTCCCCGTGAAACCGACGCTGAGCCGCAGTTTGCTTCCAAAATCCGCACACATTCACCGCGACAAATGAAACCAGCCTGGTAACCCTGCCTCCTTTGCAAACTGAGCGGTTGTTAAGTACTCTATACAAACTCTTATGGAACTTGAGCCCCCTGTGGCTAAACTATTTGTGATCCACAACCAAGGTACTCGGAGAGCGGAGAATATCTCAGGTTTGTCGCTAGTTTTGTTGACTTTCAGAAAAGAAGAAACTCTTAACATGTAATGTTAACTTATATGTTTGTGAATAACTTGAACTGTTATTAATTTGGATCGTTAGGTCTTGAATTTGCAATTCATTTCAAGCGTGTGGACAGAGAAATATTCATCGATTGTAAAGCTAGCGAAAGCTAATTCAAGTCGGATATCTGCTCCACGACTGTCAGTATTTTCACATACATACTAGTCATTTCTAGCCGAGATAACATAACAACGTTGCAGTCGTTCAATCTTCACAAATCCTGCTTTGTTAAAATGCCCAAATCACTTCCGCTTTCGGTTTGACTGATTAAATTCTACTCGCGCCGTATCCTTTTTCTTGAATCCTCTTAATTGGCGAAATGCCTTAAATAAATTCATTAGAAAAAGAAATTATTATTCATTTCAAGCGAATAATTTCTTTTTTTGTCTCTCAAATCGTACTCTCCTGAGAAATTTCACCGCTTAACTTGTTATTGTTTGTTCGAACCTGTTAGGGCAAAGATTTGCATATTTTTTCTCGGCGAGAATATGCATATCCATTACATGTCATATTAATTAATAATAGATCTGTCCGATCTGAATTCGCTATATCGTTGGATCACTTGTCGCAATTTGTAGGGAACTGCATCACGTTTGCTAGAGCTGTGACTTTCATTGCAAGTCACAAATTAAACCTTTCCATCTTGCTGTCTGATCTGATGTATGATTATTTTGGATAGTTTCGCTTTAGTTTAAGTATTGGGAGCCGTATTACAAGACACGTCACGGTATCGAGGGAGAAGGTAGACCTTTCAATTCAGATTGTTTCTTGATGAAGAAGGCACGAGGGTTTTTAAGGATAAAGCAGATCAAAACAGATTGTAGATGAAGAACTTCAGAAATTTTTCCTAAAGAAAGAAGCGTAACATAGCTACTTGAGTTGAATTCGTGTTTTCATAGGAACATAGAAGTCCCTAAAGTCAACTGCCGTATCGGGTTTGCTACCAGCCATTTTTAAATGTGAATCCTAAGTTACAGAGTTAAAGAGCGACAGACACGAACAAATAATTGTGTCATCCGTTTATTTTTATGCGTAATCTTCAAACAGTCCTTAGAGGAGTTACGCGATCAATGTTACGACTTATTCTTCATAACTAGCGAACAATGTCCTGTTTGTGTTTTGATAAAAGGAACGTTTCATAGTGAAATTCCCATCGTTAAAATTATGTCAAAATGTTTTTTTTTTCTGTTTCGCTATTTCATTGTAAGTTGTATTATAGGATTGATTTTTGGTGATGCGTGCAATTTGAGGAGTGTTTACTTTGTTTTCAGAGCATAATGCAATAGAATTAGAAATAACTGAAGGAGAACGTTAGAAGTTGAACAATTTGTTCGCCTCATTCGTTCATTTGAAAAATAGTTTCTGTAAATAGTAAATAATCCAGAACACATTACTTACACCCCAAAAGCGACAACTTGTCCATTGTAAACGGATCCAATGTAAGTTAATGAATTTGTGGTAGAAATATAACCTTAAGGTCATTAATATTGTTGTGAAGATTTTGGTGCGAGGTCGTGATCGTGGGTACTACTAGTGGGTTGCCAATTCAGGGGCACCAATTCAGGTTAGTTTCAATAAGAAATAATCGTTAATCTTGGGATCTTCCTCAAACATGCATGGCTCCAGTTAATTGAGTGAATGCAGTATTTAAGCGTCCTGGACTTCCTTCAAGACCCAAACTGATGCTTAACCCTTCAACTCCCAAGATCTAATTAGTAATTCTCCTTACCGTCTGCCATATAATTCTTGTGATGATAGTTCAGAGAATTTGGTACTGGATCAGCTAATAATCCCTTAATTGATATTGTTCTTTATTCTCATTGCTTTTCTCCTTGATATTGTATTGATATTGTGAGGAGAAATTCTGTCTTAGTCAATCGTGTGAGTTAAAGGGTTAGGACAGAATGCTGGTGATTGTAGTAGAAAGACTGACAACAAATCACAATTATTTGAAGTAGCTTAAACCTTTGTATCCGCAGAATGTGTATGACATATAACTTTATCAAGATTTAAGATTTTTGTCAAAAAAAGTGTTGATTCTTAACACACATCAAGAGTTTCATTCCTTCATTTCATGTAAACAAATATTGGTCACGAGTAAAGGCTTTTAGAAAATGCGGTCCCTTCTGTGAGAAGCAGCCAATTCAAGTGGATTAAACGGGAAAAATTGAACTAAAAGGAAGGAAAAATAATATGTTTAATTTGAAATGGATTACAGATCGCAAGATGACTGATTTTATACACCTGGGCCTGCTGCAGTTGTTCAAAGGGCGGATAATGGCGCATGCTCCACAACGGATAAATCCCTATCCAGCGGGGTAATTGTTTACAAAACCTACTGTGCCATCCAATGGATAGATATTTGGATAGCCACCTCTCGAACAAACGGGACCAATATGGTGCCATTTTTTGTATTTTTCTGGCAGCAAGCGGCGTCGCATTCTTTATGAACAGATAAAAGCAGGGAGCTAAGTGGTTCGCAACTTTGCCATTTATCTTCGACCAAATCTTTTTGTGAGTTTTTTAACTTTGAGCCTGACGTGGTACTCGCTACTCAAGATCAGTTGATAAAAAGCTGATATCTCAACAAAGTAACCTCTCCAAATAGATTCAGTGTCTATGAAAATTCTGGCATTTATGAAATGCTTTTAGTGAATGCTTTCCAAGTAGGTTGTTCCAAGTCAGAGTTGTCCATGTCTGCTTGCGATCTCCTACCAAATGTAAGTTCTTGGAATTTTATACCCAAGAAATCTCCAATTTACGACGTCGGCAGAAGCTGGTGTTTTCAGTTCTTTCTTTACGAAAATCCTTTCGTGTGGAAAATTCTGGTAATGCACAGAATAGTGGCTCAGCTGCAAACTGATATAGCATCCCGTCCCGCCCATAATTGTCACCAAAAGCAATTAAGAACAAAAAGGCAAATTAGACTTTTGTGGAAACTTTTAAATGATAAAACGATATTTGTGTTTATCGTAGGATTCCTTCCCTCGTAATGGCGACAATCTCTGCTTCCAGCAAAGAAACAACTAACTACGCTCGGTTGTGTCGCCTGCTGGTGGATGTGGGTTCACAAGTACTCAGAGATGTATTCGAGAAACTGCGCCCTCCAGGAAGCCTTGACACAGTTTTAAAAACTCCTTCTGTAAGTTCCACGCTGACTTCATTAAAAAAGAAGCGAGTTCTTAACCATGCACAGTGGACGAAACTCACCTCATCGTCAGTGGCATCGGTGGATTTTGACATTACCCTGATAGCTGTCCTTCTTAGGAATATATGTGGCCTTTCCGCTCCGGTAACTGGCTGGAACACTCCTCCATCCGCATCAGATATGACAGAGGCAGCCGATATCACCCGTATCAAGATATACAGGAACGAAGTCTACGCCCACGTCAACCGTGCTTCTGTTGATGAAGCACAATTCAATGCACATTGGATGAATATTAAGGACCCCTTGGTGAGACTTGGAGGAATAAAGTACGAGGCGATTATCGATAACCTGAAAACTGAGGGAATAGACCCAGAGAAGGAAAAAGTCTATCAACAGCTCCTCAAAGAATGGACGGAATATGAAGAAAGTGTCACAGAGGAACTTGGTGAGATTAAGGAACAGCTAGGGACCTTGAATTGCAAAATACAAAAGCTGGACGAGAAACTAGAAATGACGTTACCATTGGCACTCCCCGCGGAGGATCTCTGTCTAACAAGTAAGGACTATTTTCTGGTTCTAAAACTTTATCACTCAACCTGGGATGGTTTGATTTTAATTATTCTGCACTGACAAGCTACGCGTAATACCTACCTACTGGACAGCAGATTAGGTTCAACCAAACTAAGCTTTTATAATATTCAACAAGTATTTGCCGTAGGTGGAATGAATATCGTTGAATAATCTGATTATTCGACATTATTCATTGAGCCCGAGACAAATGATTGTTTTAGCATGATTGGGTAGGTGCCCGTGAATTATGTTGTAACTTCTTTTCGTTGTTGAAACCATTCTGTTACAATTGATTTGATTCCTCGTATAAAGATAAGCAGCCAGTTGAAAAAACCAATAGAATTTAACAGGTTTATTTGATTAAATTAGAAAAAACTCCACATTTTTCTTTTTGAAAGAGTTACACCAAACGTAATAGCATCTTTTGCGCTTGTTTGAATTGTACTTATTCCTATTGCCTCTATTACGTGCTGCGTAACATTTAGAATGATATAGCAAGAGGACGGGAACGTCATTTCAGAACGGGAAAGCGCGCGGATAATCTGGACACGACTCTATTTCGACTTCCGGTGTTGGCATTCTCATTCTCCCCAACAAGTTCAGGACGTCATTCGCTGGTTTTCTCGTCGCGATCAAAACGCCTACGCTTGCGTAAATTGTGCTCTTATAAACGAGATAGTGCTTACTGGAATGATTTCAAAACTCATTTCCAGGATAACCAAGTCCCTTTCTTTGTTTTATTCGGTGTATTTGTGAAAATTTACCGCTACATTTATGCTGGATTCCCGAGAGGAAATACGATCGTTTGCAAGCGCTAACGATCCAAGATTTCGAAATAGACTCGAGTCCAGACTATCTTCGCGCTTTCCCGTTCTGAATTGGCGTTCCCGTCCTTTTGAGTCAATTGCTAAATCACTGTACTCTATTGACAAAACTCGCAGCAGCCATTTTGAAATTTAGCTCTCAAGCTATGATCACTTATAGCAAAAAGTGGCCTAATCCTCGACCGATCAGTTGCCGTCGCTGTTATGCCAAATGTTAATAATGCCAATAATAATTGGTTAACGATGTTTATTTCAATCTGGATACTTTTATCCTTTGCAGACTTTAGAGATCGTCTAGAGAAGCGGTATAACAACTTATGCCAAGTCAGAATCACCCCTTGGGATCCTGACAACACTGTACAAATCGACGAAATTTACACAGAGCTCTTTTGGGTCAGGGACAACAAGAAGCCAAGTGGAAAGAAACAAGAAAAACTTGATGATTATTCCGACATTCTGAAAGAGCTTAAAAGCAACAGAATCCTTGTATACGGTATACCGGGGATCGGAAAATCCACCTTTGCCAAAAAAATCGCCATCGACTGGGCAAGAGGTAAAAAGGAAAACCTAAAGAAGTTTGATCTGCTGCTCATGATCCCGTTACGAAACGTTTGCCATAGTAAAACCTTCCGGAACATGTTAATTGAAGCCAAGCTGTTTCCCGCTGAAGACCAGAAGCTCGTCGACGCTCTCCTTAGGTACATTCTTGAGCACAAAGATAAAGTTTTGTTGGTTTTGGATGGTTTTGACGAGTACAATGCAGGTGAGGAGACTCCAGTTGTTAGCCGCGTATGGATGGGGGATGAGCTCCGAGACTGCTTTGTGATTTTGACAACGAGGCCAATAAGAGAGGATGATGTAAAGCGATACAGCAGCGCCCAATTTCAGATAAAAGGATTTGACCAAGCCCAGATCAAAGAGTTTTCAATGAAGTTTTTAGAAGATGAGCAAGAAGTTCAGAAGTTTCTTGATTACATTAAGATCCACAAGCTGAAGGAGATTTCAGAAATTCCCCTGCTTTTGCTGATGCTTTGTTTAGTCTGGAAGGAGAAAGATCGCGAAGGGTTACCAGAGGCAAAAGTGCATCTTTACAGCGATTTCATTCAAACCCTTTTAAATCACATGGCCGCAAAAGACGCTGATGAAGAAGTTAAGAGCATCAAGGGCTACGGTGGCGATCTTGAACAAGTAGGGGAACTGGCATTTAATGCTTTACTGAACAATTCTCTCGAGTTTGATTATGAACATTTTCCTAACGAGCTTCTGAGTAGCAAGTTGATCCGTGTTGGCGTAATTCAGATTGTAAAGCTCTTTAGTGCAAAGCCAAAGAAGATGGTTGCCTTCCTTCACAAATCCATTCAAGAATTCTTAGCAGCCTGGTTCATTATTCACAAGATACTTCCATCCGCTAAAGACAATGTCACTTGCATACCTACCATAAATTCAACCAGAAAAGTTGTCGACTTGCTCGAAGTCCTCAAGTTTGTTTGCGAATGGTCACCGGAAGGGTCGAAAGCTGTACAGCAGCATCTGGCATCTTTGAGGACTAACCAAAATCCTCCCAAAGACGTTCAAACAGAAACACCGTTCTTGGAGGATTTGCTGAGTGATGACAAAAAATTATCAAAGTTGAGCCTTGAGTGTTTTATCACTACACCCACTCAATTTAAGGGCGAAGTGTACCCGTCGTTGTTGAAATCCCTCACGGGCGTTTTGATAATACCTGACACACTCCTGCCTCATGTGGCCAACGGACATTTTGTGAAGTCCGAAGTCCTGCCTGAGAGTGTACTATTTGATTTTCACAGGCGTCCTTCTCCTAAAGACCGCGATCACATTTCCTCCATCATGGACGATCTTAACGCGATAATTGTAAGTTCTACAGGAGAAACGAAGGCTTCTGACTTTGTGAGAAGACAAGGGAAAACTGATATATTGGCCTCTCTCTTATTGAAACGCTTAGAAGATAAGATGTATCTCTACTTCTCTCAGATTGCCAACGTTGATGTCGGAACGCTGCGGGAGCTTGCGATGCCAGCGCCAGCTACGTTTTCTCATACCCGTGCAAATCATAAAGATGTAGTGGTCGGTGACAGGGCAGCCGAGATGGATTGGCAAACTCGTCAGCACTGTTTTTCACTCGCAAAGAAAATTGACATTGAGGATTTAGAAGGCGACGTCATCCACATAATTTCTAATGTTTTGCCTCTTCTTAGCAGACCAAGAGAGATAGTATTACGAAGCCTTAAAGAATCTTCTATATCTCAGGAGACAGGACGTGTAGTGTCAGGAATAAACATGACAGAGTGTCTTAGACGCCTGAAACTACATAAAACATGCTTGACGGAGAAATCTCTGTCTGTGCTAGCAAACGCCTTACAGAAAGCTTGTAACTTGCAAGAATTAGTCTTGTCAGAAAACCCATTGGGAAGCAGCGTGAGGTGCCTGGCAGCAAATCTTCGTCATGTGCAGCAGCTGACTATCTTGGAATTGTCAGATGTTCTCATGGAACACGAAGCCTTCTCAGATCTCGCCGATTCCTTGCGTCATGTTCCTGACTTGGAAGTTCTTTCTGTGTCTCGAAATCAACTCGGGACGTCGATCTTAGATTTGGCAGACAACTTGAAATTCGTTCCTCGATTGACTCGATTGGAGCTAGGAGAAACCCACATGGACGAAAATGGAGGAAGGGCTCTCTCTGACTGCTTACAATCTCTTCCACGGTTACAGGTGCTGGACATATCTCACAATCCACTGGGAAGCGCAGTTGTTGTGATTGCAGATAATCTTTGCAAAGCAACCTCCCTCACTGATCTCAATATGACTGACACAAAAATGGGCGCAGAGGAAGCCACAGCACTTGGTAGCTCACTTATGTCCCTTCAAAATCTTACAACACTGTCCATTGGGTCCAATCAACTAGCCCAAGGAGTCAGTGCTCTCGTCTGGCGTCTCTCTGAAAAATCAAAGTTGAAGCGACTCAACATGGAGAACGTAGAGATGGGTGAGGAGGAAGTTGACAATGTGGCAAAAACCTGCAAAAAAATCCAAAGCTTAGCCATTGTTAACGATTATCTTGTAAGTAACCTTTGTTTTATTTTGTAGTTTTGGCGTTCTAAGAGGCTGTTCGAGTTGAAATAGTAACCCAGTATGTCATTAAAATTATCGAAAAACATCTAGAAATAATTGGGTTTTTTTAATGGCTTTTAAACTCTTTTCAAGGCAAAGCATGAAAAATCCATTCAGCAAAACTGAGTTCAATGTTTAACCATTTTAGGCCATATTTATTGTTAAACCTGCGGGCAAGGCAGCCTTTCAATGCAGAGTACCCTTCTGTTTTATAGCCTGCATTACCTTCCATGTTCCGTTGTGATACTCAATAAGAGAAGTTCTTGCTGTATACGGCATTCATCAAAATTGGACGACAATTCCTAAAAAATAGCTACACGCATTTTGGCCGTTGGTAGCTTTCGATCCAAGTCAAAAGAGCTTATTTGTTATTCGCGTGTGGGTCGTCATTACATAATGAGATTTACTTTCCTGTTTTCGCCATAGCGTAGAATGGCTATTGTTCTTGTGACATTTACTTACAGTTCAAGAAAACGCATAGGTCTGTCATAACGCTTATTACTATTCATGGAGCCCAGAAAGAAGCTTTTTTATTGTTTGCTATGAACGCGCGGCAATACTCATTAACTTGAATGTGGCGGCAAACTGAACAATGGCTTTAGTGCGCTATTGTTACTCCCTTTGTTTGAATGACCACAACCCGCTTTTGTTTCTTCCTTCGTTTGAATAAACTCGGAATAAGTTAAATACTTTACAGGGCTGGCCATAACTATCTCTCCATTTGAACGCAGCCTCTCCGTTTATTTGAAGATAAAACATCGGGTTGTTTTCTTTCACAAATGGAGGCACTATATGTACATGTGACGGATTGATCGGGTTGTCAACGAGCTCTGAAAAGAGCTCCCGATTGCTGACGTTTTCCATGACTTTATCCATTGCGCGATATGATCGGCTGTTTGAATAAACCAGCTGCTTTACTTTACTTACTTTTAAAATTCGCGGTAATAGTGAATAATTTTACAACTGAATGGTTTTTATGAATGGTCTATTATTTAGTCTTGGTAACCATTGTTATTCAATCGAAGGCTTAAAACAATAGCTCGCTCGCTCAAGACGCCATTTTCAAACGCGAATTCAACCAGCAGTTTTCAAACTGAAAAGGATAGTGGTTCCCGTTGACCAATTTGTAAACTTTTTGCAGATTCTTGATGAGAAAAGATGAATTTTCCATAAACCGTGCGCGGGTTTTCGAAATTCAGTAAAAGTTTTCAGAAATTTGCTTTGGAAAACGGACTCCTTACAAAAAAAAGGTCAATTTTTCCTTATTTTCAAGTGCAAAAGGATACTCCTTCCACTTGTTCAATCTTCTTTATTTTAGTCTTAAATTGTTGATACAACATTCCTCTTCAAAATTCCGTGCGTGGGTTTTAAGATTTTTAATTCTTGAAATCAGGAAAGCAAGTTTTATCAACGCTACTTGGCCAGTTCTTCTCTAATTTTGGGCTTTTCAGAGCGCGTATTTGCGCTTCGGTGATCATGAATCAGTTTAATGAATGTCACAGCATTCTGCCCTATGAATGAGCAAGGAGTAAATAAGAAGCTACGAACGGCACTCGATTCATCTACGAAGACAAATTTTTCGGCATGACTTTCATTTATTCATCTCTTTCATTTACTATTGTAGTGATAATAGCCATGACTAATGGTTTCATATTGAAGCAACTGCCTCACGATTAGAGTCTATGTGGGGTTCACTTCCTCCACTTTGACCCCAGATGGTATTTTCCTGCTTCAAATCTAAACAATTCTTACATAATTTAGGGAAAAACGTGTTTACCACGTAATTCTTATTCCTTACTTTAATCAAGTGATATGCCCAACTGGCTCAATAGAATTTAGGGGGCAAGTTTTTAAAGAAACTGGTGCTACATCGGTGGGAGAGGGTAATTTAGTATTATAAACTGAGTTGATAACATTAATCGCACTGTGTGGTAGTTGTTTTATCATAATCCATTGCTGTTCTCATTTCAAGATCCTTTGATGTAGATTCTGTAATCCGTAAGATACAAGATGTGACTCTTCTGTACTTTTTGTACTCAAATTTCTTAAACAGTAGATTTGATTTCACTTTTTGTGATATAACAGGATGAAAAAGAAGAGTCGAAGAAAAGACAGAAGGAAGCTGTAGAAAATTACGACGAGGATTATTTTGATGACTATCAAGACCACTTTCTAGACAACGATTATGAAGATTATTCCCCCAACGACTGGGACGATGACAACGACAGTAATGACGAAGACGATGGAGATTTTTACCAAGAGAATGATTTTGATGAGGGTGATAAGAAATACAAATCAGGGGGGAAAACCGGGTCATGAACGAGTCACTGTGTTTTGTTTGTCGGAAGACACTTTACCCTCACAGAGCCTCTTTATGCCCAGTAGTATATATGAATCGGAACGGGCAAAAAGTTTGGAAAGCATCATGGAATGTTCTTGCCAGGATTTTCCCTCGATGTTGTCACTTTTCTTTCCAATTTTTAAACTTGCGAAAACAGTCAGAATGGCAGAAAGTCGTTTTCCTTATTTTTCCCCCTCGCCTTTCTCGTCCTTACCTTGGATGTCAACTAAGAGTCATATCATCAAGCTACATAAAAACGAACATAATGAGCAGTTTCTCCCATTTAACTTTGCCAAAGAATTACTTCGCGAAACCATATCAAATATTGTAATAAAGTTCGGATATAACACGCTGTCATTGGTTGAAAAAGCGTGCTCCATTAGAGTACAAAACACGGAGCTGAGCTAAAGCTGTCACGCCATCTGCCAAATTGTACTATGTCCGAACATTTCTCGGGCTTGAATACGTCACTATCATGTCAGTCTCTCCGCTTTAACTTTGTCAGAGGATTACTTCGCGACCCTATATCAAATATCGTAATAAGGTTCGGGTATAACGCGCTGTCATTGGTGGAAAGAGCGTGCTCTATCAGAGTACAAAACATAGAGCTGAGCTAAAGCTGTAACGGCATCTGCCAAGTTGTACCATGTTCGCACATTTCTCGGACTTCTCTTTAGCTCTTTTTTCAACAACGTTTCGTGTTTCTCCCTCTACTTCTTTTGTGCTCTGCCCGCTTCCTGCGTGCTTTACAACAGAACAGAGCACAGTCAAGGCTCCTCTATTTGTCAAACAAAATCCTCTTTCCCTCAACAATAGGTTTATGAAGTTATCTAGCCGTTGAGAGTGTAAACTAGACTAGTGTCCCTATTTTCATTTCCTTCATTCCCCTTATACCCTACTCTCTTTACTTCCTCCTTTCCGCCCTTATGGATGATGTACATCCATGTGAAGTGTCTCCGAAGACAGTCTAGATCTTTTGATTTGTTACAATAGAATGTTGCGTTGTTTTCCTGACTTTGAAAACACGACAAAAATAGATACGATATATCAAAAGGATTTTCACCATTTTATTTTCATTGCTAAATCTATTTCAGCAAATGTAAAAAATGGCAGAATATATTTTACAAGAATGTTTGATTGCTTTCATACACGTTCATAGGTTTTCGCTATATTATAGAAGCTACCACGTATTTTCTGCACTTTAAGTCATATTACAAAGTTGAATAATAATCGCTTTCAGTCAGAACAATTCCATTCATTGCTGTTGTACAAGGCTTATTTTTCTCTGTTTAGGGCCAGTTGCTGGCTCCATCATTGGTCCTCCTCCTTTGTTTTCTTTTTTCAGGCTTAGATGGATTTAAGAGATATTTAAATCAATAACTGATTGATATCGCCATAAAATTCATAAGCTCGTGCGACAACCTTTACCCTGTTTTTTTGCGAAAATACAGTTGGTTAACGAGAATGGAAAACTCTTAATATAAACCGATGAGTAAATATATATGTAGCTATTTTATTAATTTCTATTTGCAATTGATTAATTAACGAGTGCACGAAGAAAAAGAGTTGCTAGAATCTTAGACGTTAGATCATATATCATTTTATAACAACTTTACTTTTGATAAAACTAGCAAGGAGTATGAAGATTCTGAATCAAAGTAAATACCTGATTTATCGCAGGCAGCAAAGTAAAGATTTTTGGTTTTGTGAGCCATTTCCGCCACTATTTTGGACTCTTGCTTGAATTGCTGGAGACTGTGAACCCGCCTTTTTTTACGTAACATTTTACTCATGGCATCACGAACCTAAAAAACATCATCCAAAGTGATGATAATTGATTGTTCCTCTCTTGCATCGATCATTTTTAAACTATATTGACATTCGGGGAAAAATGCCAAATTTGAAATTTGAAATTTGAATCAAAGACTTGCTTGCATAGAAATTGAGAATCCCACAACTATACGTTTAGTTTTCAAAAAATTGAAGCGTTTAGGAAAGATTTAAAAGAAAAATTCACATATTTATTTTCTGAGTTAAATATATTTTTTTTCTGTTAACGGAGATAATCTTAAAGCAAGCCGAATAACTTTCATTGGTGCCTTTCCTAATTTGAATAAGGGATTGATTAATTACAATCTTCATTCCTTAACCTGTGCCCCAAGTTGATTAAAAGGCCAAGAAAAGCGTTATTACATTTCCATCTGTAGCCTTTCAAGATATCTCTCTTTGTTGATATTCTAAAGTAATCCGGGACTGCATTGGCGCTGGACTACTTCGTTCGGTGATTGGTGCGAAATACTCGCGCCGCTCTCTCGATCATTAGGATGCAAAACTTCAATCATTTCCCATGCGAAAACTAGCGTTTATGTATTCCGTCCTTTAAAATACATTTCATTTGGTTTTGGCCGGCATTCCGACACACAACTCAGATTCGCTCAAGATCTGGTGACTTGAAACAAAAACAAAAGAAAACAAAGAAATAGATGAATCAAAATGTCCTACAATGAAATCAGGGTTTATACTCACCTGATCATCAAATGCACAGTGACAGATAAAGAACAGCACACCCTAGGATTTGAAAGAGAATGCAGTTTACAGTGGTTTGCAAATGCAAGATTGCCCAACATTACGCACAATTTCCGCTATGTGAGGGTTTGAAAGGGGTTAACCGGCGGAAATTTAGAAAAATTAACCGTTATGCGACGAAATAGTGTTGGAAGTATGCAGGCATAAATTACCAGGCCATCTATAGAAACACGTGCACATGAACTAATCCCAATGAGCGCAATGAGCGCACTACCAATGCTCTAATATAGAAATATGCGTATTCGGGGTTGTCAGTTAATTCGTGGTTTTCGAACATGTAACTACTCGGTTTATGTTGGAATATTAAAAGAAGCTTTTTTAACCTAAAAACATTGTTACACGTTAGCTTAACTAAAGTTGACCAAAAAAAATCTGTACTTTAATCGAAACGGAATTCGAAAGAAATTAACCGTCAGCCGTAAAAAAGCAAAAATTTTAACAGTGAGCCGTAAAAGCCATTACCTCATTGAGGCCCGCTTATGTTGTAGCTCTACAATTGTAGAATGGTTTGTCTACTTTATTTTGCTCTTCATCCATTTTTCTGATTAAGAAGTAACTCGAAAAGCGACCATAACAACAACAATATCCTTTGATTGCGTCACGCAATAATTTACCTGGATGGAATTCAATAAAACAAAGGCATATTCCACAGTAACGTGAAAATCAACAAAGAAGCCAAGCAAAAACGTCACACCCAGCAATGGAAGCAAAGCGAAAATTGCTTTTAGTCCTTTCCTGAAAAAAAAAAGAAAAGAAAAAAAAAAAAAAGAAGGAGCCTATGACGATTAATCAATCAAAATCTAATTAAAACCTTCTTAGTTACAAGAAAAGAATATATGTTTTTTATACATGGTATTAATTCAATAATGCTTTTGCTTTTCGTTCCTTTTTCTCTTTTTTGACACAGATTTTCGCACAAGACGCTGTGGAGAAGATTTGTACCCTCCATCTTGTTTAAGATTGTAGATATACGCTTAAAGTAGTCTACTTATATTTACCTGGTGGTCTGCGCATAATTCCTGCGTCCAATTCGGCCAAAGCTCACGCGCAGAACAACAGCAAAGACCGCAAGGTTTGCCTTAGATGGAGACAAAAAAAGAACTCATAACAACATGCTAAACTTTAACATGGGAAGGATCGAGTTCAAGTGGAGTGTTATCCACTATTTCCTCAAAATACTCCGATGGAATATCAGTTTTGAAGGATTTTGGCTTCCCCAATGAGGAGAATAGAATTAGAGATGTGAAGAGGTAATGTTAGTTTAACTTCAGACGCAGAAACTCCAGTTTTAAAATGTTCACTAACCTTATTATTGGGCAAAATTACGGCCTAACATTGGGTTTTAATAGGCCACGTTAGTATTTCTAACAGATTTTCTGGCAAGAAATGTAATTTATTTCAAAGTGACTTAGTGAATCCTAAGGCCCAATAGATAAATTTATCTTTGAGTATTGTTTGAATGAAAATTGAACATTATTTAAAATTTCAAACGCAGTTGATTTGGAGACAAAAGGATAAAAAAAAATACGACCATTAAAAAGTTTTAATTTGTTTAAAATTTTTTCGAAACTAATTTGAAAAATCCTGCAGCTAGGAGGAATCCACTTCTTATCTGTAACGTCTCCCCTGAAACAGATTTTTCTTAACTTCTAAAGACAACTTCAATATTTCTTAAGCAATTGTTCTACGGTGGATACAAGGCAAAGAAACTGACAGGCGGAAAACAGACTAGAGAAGACTTTTAAAAAACTTTTGGACTTCTCTAGATGTTGGTTAAAATGAATTTTAGAGAATAGGTCCTCAACACGGAAAGTTAAAAGAGGAAGAAGGAAAAAAGGAAAAAAAAAACACCCGAAATAATTACCCTGAAACGCTTTTTAGAACTGTATATTGATTGAATTAGGGGCAATAATGACTTCAAATTTACCAGAAGCATGGCCAGCACGGGTCCTTTGAATTTCCAGATACTTCCGTTGAGCCAACATCTGAAACCATCAAAATTAAAATCATCAGTTTATGCAAACACCGAAGTTAAATTAGAAAAAAGTTGTATGAGGATCTTTGTATTCGGTTCGAATGTGCATTTAGAGGCCTGCAAACCTTTTTACAAAGTAAAAGTAGTTCACAGTAATTCCTCAAAGATATATCACTCCTATTTTATTTGTCTACTTGATTACAAGGCATGCGGTCATCTACAAAACATCCTTTCAAGTTACACGTTTGTCATATTTCATTAGAGACCTTAAGCAGTTAGGACGGCAACGTCAAGGAAGACTTCGATTAAAAAATGAATTTCTGCCTTTAATTAGAATTTAAAAAATAGCTGCATTTGTTTACCGTCACATACGGCGCCACACCTCAACTTCAGCATAACGCATAAAAGAGAAGCGTTGAGTTGAAAATGGAATTAAAATAATTTGTCGTCGCGGTTTCGGTTCGCAGACGACGCAAATTGTGGTGATTTCACGTTGTTGTTTTGCAGAGGACGACTAAGAAATGTACTAAGTTTTGAAACGCACGTGCTGAGCTATTGTTCTGCCAATCTTTTGTCTTTCCATATCCTCGTTGCCGTCGCCGTCGTGGTTTGCTTAAGGTCCCTAGTATTTGTCCGCTGCAACGAATAATTTCTTTCCCAAGATTCTCTGTCATTTGAATGTCAAAGTTTTTCGCCTGACGAAACCGCAAAGTACAGTATCGAACATCGTTGCGTATCCGGCCTTAGTGAAAGCGCACAAATAATTTTTGATTTATGTATGTCATAGATTATTACGTCGATTCACCATATACTTAACGTATTTTTAAGCTTTTATCTAGTTTCTAGTTGGTACTTCAGTGAAATAAGATACCTTTCTCTATTCACTGTTCCCGTGAGTTTCAGTGTTCCGCACATGATTTCTTTATACAACATTGTACTCATGTCATATGTTGAAGGTTGGATTACTGCCACGAAGCCAACAATGACCCCTGGTACTCCTATATATTTAGGAGAAAACCCACTTTAATAACACAGCAGTTTTTACGCACCAAATAGGGTGAACAACTCGATTCAGTGAAGCTGACAGATAAAGAATGACGAGCACGACTGCATTCCTTAAGCCAATAACTTTACGGAAAAACCAACAGAAGTATTTTTTTTTACAGATTATAACTTAGCAATGACAAGCAATTCTCCTATTCATAATTTATTCATTACTTTACCCCATCCAATATGGCTTTCCAAAAGAGAAAACCTTCACTATCTTCAAGTAAAGGTTTATTCCTTCAATCAACATCCAAGTGTAAAGAGAAGTGTAGAGATAGTGCTGGACGGCAGCAATAACAGAGCATATGGTCTGAAAAGGAGAACCGGTCCAAACAATTAGATTAAAAACCTACAGTTAAATGCAACAGCTTATTGCTGAAGCCATACGAACTAAACATCTTTAGATTATATTTTGTTTGGTGAAAAGAAAATGGAAGTCTACGTAAGGTTCAAGAGATGACGTTACAGAAATGCTTTGGTGAAGATTCCCTGTCAGTGCCAAATTTTCCGAGGATCGTGAACGAGCTAAATCATACCTATTGTTTGTATTTTGGTGAAAATTCGCCTTGGTTCAATTAAGGAAGACAGAACAGCACCAAATTCGTCTTTAGAAGCAGTTGTATTTTCGAAATGGTAGTAGAGGAGCCCACCGAGTTATTAACCGCTCTCCCAAATACAACTTTCCTTATCTTAGCCTTAAATTTTAACGCTCATGAAATCCTTCTTTGCTGTCTCGGTTTGAAAAATTGTAATGAAGAAAATGTTTTAAGTTGTTCATCACTGGATTTATGATTCAGCAGTCAACTTGAAAACCACTATGTTACTCCCCATAAAACATATATACATAAGCACCTCACCACAAGAAAAATAAGTTGCAAGACAGTTAGTGATCGCAGGTCACAGTTAGCCACCATTTTTAATTTCTATTATCTAATCTTTGTACTTACATGGTGCATGTTCCTTGATGGGAAGATATTTATGTCAAGAATGTAAACTGTATGTCCAAAAGCCAGCGATATGAGCAGATTCTTGTGCACGAAAATCCGCTCCGACATTGAAACTCTACCACATTTGAAACAAACGTCAGCAAAACATTCTTTTATTATTTTTCTAAATCCAAGGATGGAAACCATTTAATTCTCGAAGACACACTAGCTTCCTCGAAGAAGGAGAAAAAGCCAAAAATGAAAAAGTTACATTGTCTTCCAAGCTTGATAGTTCATCCGTCTTCGCAAGAATTTATTTCAGTTTCTGTGCATGAAGCTAGTTATTAAACTTGGATTGCACCCAAATCCATATAATTATAAGTTCATTCTACCCTCCTCCTCCTTTTATATTTATCAATCCACCGTTTTCACACACCAACGATTTCTAAGCCTCTGGTTCTCCACATTAGCTCTTACTTACATACCTTACAACTGAGAGGAATGCAAAGGAAATTACTTCTGCTGTAATAGAGAAGCTCATGAGTGTCGTCTCAAGGGTATTCGACCAGAATTTTTTCGTGCCTCATGGATTCCTTTGTGGTTGCAGGGCTCTCGAAAATAAATTCTCCTGATTCCAATTATTTAGAAGTATATTTTTAGTATGGATGTCACTTTTTCCGCTCTCTGCCTTTCAAAAAAGATATTAATATTTTTTTTAAGCTTCCGTGAAGAGGAGATATTACTTCTTATTATACTGTACATTTTTCTATCAGGAAAGATTCATTGCAATTACTGGTAACATTGTCGTTCACATTTGCAGCAACCCTTGCTTTAAATGATTTTATTACCTCGTCAAACGACGCTTAAAAGCAACCTTTACTCGTGAGGAATTCTACTATCTGTTGAATGCCTGCCCCATCTGACTTCTATAGAACAAATAAGAATCAAGATTTTCAAATTAAATTCAGCTGCTGAAAAAGATAAACAACAATCGAAAATGTTTAAATGGATCGTAGCTTATTTGTAGCTTGATACAAACATCACTTCGCGTTTTCCTTCTGTTTTTCTCTTGGTTCATCATAACGAAATGGTAACGTAAACGCTGGAGAAGAAAAACTTGCGGTCATACTTACTAATTCACTGTCGTTCAAGCAACCATACCTGGGTCTTGTCGCGGTTGTGACCTTCTTCATGTCTGCAGTCATTGGCGATATTATCACTCCTTGTTATTGCCACACTTAACGCTGTTCCTGAAGGTGTAGGTCGGGTTGTGTTCATACTATTACCCCAGGATGACGCATGAGTTCCCAACAGTGACTGCTGTTGGTGGCCATCGAGTGGTATTATAGAAGGTGCTTGTGTTATTATCTTCTGCCTGAGTAAATGCCTTAGTTTCGACATTTGATGCTGTACTTTTTGGAACTTTGGCAACTGATGGTGTACGTTTTGACAAAAATGTCTTTTTAGAGTAACTATAACTAACAGATACACTTTGAGTATTTCTTATACCATTACTTGCTCTTATTTTACCAGTTGTGCGCAGAGTTGTAGCAGGGGCTTTTGTTGGTGGCAGTGTTATGTATGCTCGAATCGTTGTACTTCCCTGGTGGAAATTCCAAACACCGTGCCAGCCCCACCCTCGCGAACTAGAAAGTTCAAAACAAATATTTTTCGATTTTATTTTTTTTCTGTCTAGTTTTTCTGATAATACTAAGAAAAACGTGTCTGTAAAAGGTTTCTCTCTTTCTGGAATACTTACGTCACATCCTGAACAAATGTCTGCAGGACTGAATGGTACAAAAAGAAAAGATTCTATTTTTAATTTGTGGACTTAGTGACGGAAAAGACAAGTTTAAATTAATTAAGTAACAGGATAACAATATGTGAGGGGAGTATATGATAGCCCATCCAGTGAGGTTTGCTAGAAAGTTTGAGAAATACTAATGTTTACTTTAAGTGAAGCCATCCTCAATCGCAGGAGCGAATTGTATCAATTTGGGAGTCAGAAAAACATCCCCACCTGAATTAGCACGAACTCGTTAAAGCCTGAATTGAAAACATATTCCCTTAGAGACTCACGCACCTATTTTGAACGCGTCTCACCTGCACTCATGATAAGAAAAGCTAGAAATTGTCTCTCCATCATGAAGACACTCATACGCTCTAACTTGAAGAACACTGCAACTACGTACACAAAGAGGTATATTAGCCAAATATGGCCAATGGTCAAAGCTGGTGTAATGCACTTATTGAACGAATATAGCACTTAATCATATATTTTTTTCGAAAGAAAAATTCAACTTATTTCTACTCCATCAACGAAGCTCTATGATTGAGAGAAATCAACAAAATTGCTGCAAGAAATAGCAGAGCATGAAGTGTGAAATAAAGTATCGCTATCTGTAGCAAAGGTTCTCTAATTTTTCACTGCTTAGAATACGGCAGCTGGTGAAAAGTGTCATCTCTTGCAATATTCAATCATTTCAGACCAGGATCTACAATAATTTTGCCAACGTTATGGAGAGCCTTTTCATATACTCAAACCTTCGTTGATGTAACAGCACTATTCCACCGAGGTCGGTTGAAGGTAGATGCTCTTGTGAAGCACAGAGTACGTCTAAATAATTAGTAATAATTTCAATTTCAATAAATTTTGCGGTATTTTTAATAAACTAACTAACACTTAAGCCGAACAAACTTACATAAAAAGCGTGCATTAGTTAAATAAGCAATTACAGACAAGTTTTTATTTTTTTCGATAGAGCAAATAGACAATACTCTTTTCATGCGGTAAATTCATTGAAGGCCGGTTTTTATGTTACTTAATACTTACTCTAGAAGTTCCAACCAAATGAGGATATATGATACGATTATAAAAGAAAATTTTTATTTTATTTCAAGAAAACCGATCTCAGTTTAAAAGCTTCTATATGCTTTAGAAAAACATCGTAAGGATTGCATCTTTATCTAAGAACCTTTTTAGTTTACTTTTCTTCATTATATGACGAACCTTGTAAAAGCCTTTAATTTGCATTTTTATGATTTCTTGAAAGCTGAAAAAAACTTTACATCCTATTTCAGGAAATTGCTGGCTTCATAGCTGTAATAATTACCTCCTTCCTTTTCTAATTAACTTAATGATTTTGTTGCCTCACTTTGCTGTGACACTCGCTTCCTTCCGTCAGCTGTGTTAAATGACTTCCGCACGTCCCTTGAGCAAATGAACCTTTTTCCAGCTAATGGTAGGTAAAGTTTGTTTTAAGGGCGATTCTTTGCTTCAGCCGTAAAATGCAATGTCATAGCAAACTCCTCGCGAATTTAAGAGGCCTTTATAGGTCATCAAAAGCAAATAATGGAAAGTAGTTTTAAATGTACAGATTTGTGAGCTAAAAAATTGCTCATGAACTCCGAATTTTTAAGGTCCGGGAGGGACTTCATACCGTCCCTTTTATCGCAGGGGGTGGAGGAGGTGGGTGGATTTGTTCCCCCCCACAAGGCTCTGTAAAATGTTACATGACTTTCGCACGTCCCTTGAGCAAGTGAACCTTTTTCCAGCTTATGGTAGGTAAAGTTTGTTTTAAGGGCGATTCTTTGTTTCAGCCATAAAATGCAATGTCAAAGCAAACTCCACGCGGATTTACGAGGCCTTCATAGGTTATCAAAAGCAAATAATGGAAAGTAGTTTTAAATGTGCAGGTTTGTGAGCTAAAAAATTGCTTATGAACTCCGAATTTTTAAGGTCCGGGAGAGACTTCATACCGTCCCTTTTATCGCAAGGGGTGGAGGAGGTGGGTAGATTTGTTCCCCCCACAAGGCTCTGCAAAATTCTTATGATCTCCCTTTAGGGCAGTTAAGTGCCGGTCGATTCTCTGGAGTGTCACCTCTGAATTCTTTTAGCGACAATTGATCCCCCTCCCTCCCCCACAGATGAGGAAAAAAAAATTTTAATCATAACATAAGTTTGCAAAGCTTGAACGGTAAGAGCGGATGCCGAGAAAAAAACACTAAGGTGTCCCTTTTAAATAAACTTGTAATAGCAAATCGCGCACGATCAAAGTCTTCTTTTCATTTTAATTTTGCTGCCTTAATACAGATTACATCATTTATGATTATTTCCGAGTTTGATTAAGTATAAATTATATTCCGGTTGGGAAGCGCCTTCAAAGAATTTACTCCATATTTATTCACATTTGATGATTTGAAGATATATGACGGGTCGTTTTCATTTCGATTCGTCTTAGATAGTTTGCTTTCGTACACAGCCCGCTCCGCAGCAACTAAGCTACAACTGAAATTTTTTAAGAGGCAATCAGTTATATAAATGATCTCTTTTTTGCAAGAAGAAATGATGGAATGAATCATACGTAGACACATACGGAGACAAACAGTTAAGGGCTAGAGAATCGTTTGTCTGTTCTTGATTGGGAATAACACAGTTTTCAGTTTGACATAACCGCGCACAAACGAGAGAGGGGGTGAAGGGATTTATAGTAATGTAAAACGCCTTCCATGAGGTTTGCGTAGGAACTGCTCAGATCCAAACGTCGTGCTCGCATAATTTTTTTTTTCCTGCTACCTTTTACGTCGGCCACATCAGCAACACAGCCTATAGCTGCCAAGCAATTTTAATCTCCGTATTTCAGAGTTTTCAGTTAGAGCGTAAAATCCCCTTTCAGTCTGACAGGGAGGCCAACAATATGTCCTCTTCGTTGTATCTTTCAGATCTCTTCCGCTCATTTATACCGCTATATGGCTGGGACATTAACTGAGAGTGTAGTTTCTTCTTAAACTGTCCCTCAACGATGAGATAATCCTTCAATGTTTTAATCACTTGTTGGTGCTCATGAGCCATTGAGCGGTAATAGTAGAGTAGGCTCAATACCACCATCATGACGGGAAGGAGGAACGCCGCTGTGCGCATGAACCGCAGTGTCGCATGAATCGACTCAGGCCACCGCGAGACCACGAAGGATAATTCATCGATGATAAATTTCTCTTTGCTGCATTCCGTATTCTTGAACGGTCCGCAGTAAGATGTCGGCACTTTTGTCACGCCCCAACCAACAAGCCCTGTGGACATTAAAAACGTGACGAGTAGGAGAAGCGCGAAAATAGAACTCAGCTTCGCGCCTTGGAAGGGTTTGTCAGGCAGTCGATTGTTGTGAAACAGGCTCAGTTTCTTTACATAGAAAAACACGATTAGTTTCAGGACGCCGATGACGGGGAGAATGGGGCTGAAAAACGTGCCAATCAGAATCAAACACTGCCCGTACGCCAAGTCGATGACATTGCGAGAAATATCGAACTGTGCCATTCCAATTTTGCGGAAACAGCTGCAGTGTTTGTAAAGAAGCTTTCTAAACGTTTCAACGCCGAGGGTAATTAGTAACACAACAAAGAAATCGACCCAGACAAGCATGTACATCTGCGCAGCGATCTCGTTTTCCCAACATTGTCCGCAATGCGCTGATAGCGGCAACGAGTCGTCCTGGATGCGTTCACCAAGGTCCTTATACAGGAGGATCATTAACATCGCAATGGAAGGCAGCTTGACACAAATTCTCCGCAAAAGGTTCAGCCCCAATTCAAATTTTGGGCCCCAGTCCTCAAATACCGACAAGAACTCGAACAACGGTGGAAGGACAAGGTTCGGTATTGTTATAGCTAAAGACAACGACGATCGAATCAGCATTTGCTCGAACTGATTCCTTCCTTTTTCAGTGACCTTTTTGGAGAAGATGACGCCGAACACGAGCACGAATGACACGTACCAAAGAGCTGGGACAATGAACAGATTAATGATAATCCGAGTTCCATATAAGGCCGTTTTCTGTTTCTTTGTACGGTTTAGAATTCGTCTCAATCTTTCTTCTTCCTCCAATTCAAAGCAAAAGTCCTTAACGATAATCTGCTTTTTATGTATAGCTGCACTCCGTTCACAAATACAGTAATCCCATGCAGAGAACAAGCGGTTAGAAAATGAGTTAAACACGCCCTCACTATCGATATACCCTTGTTTTAGGCCGCTCGATGCACTCTTTACTAAGATGAGGAGACAGAATAGGAAGTACGCGCCCCCGGTCATCAGGTAAGCTAACGGTAAGAGATATCTCACCCCCTCCTGGGATATAATAACATCCGACGGATAAGTACTGTAGAACATAATTGTGTTACTGATCCAACCTTGCCCCGTAAAGAAGTCTAACACTACAGTCAGTATACCGCTGTCCGATTTGTTTGAAGCGGAATAAGCAGAGTCGTATCTACAGCTTGTCACGTTAGTTGCGTGACCGTTCGCGTGATTCGCAGACGTGTCAGAACAGATCACTAGCGTTGGAAGAGAAACAAAGCCGAACTCCATCATGAAGACAAATAAATTTAGCAACATTAGCCAGCGAAGAAATACGAAGTACGAGACTACACCGCCGCCGAACTGGCCTTCAATTTCTTTGAGGTGTCCGCGCCAAAGCTGCAGAGAATAAAGGCTTTCTTTAAAAGCGATTCGAAAGCGAGTCCATGCCTTAGTTACGCTCATCAGCAAAGCTTTCCCTTTCGAAATTCTCGTAGGAGCTCTTGCCCGAAGAGAATCCTTGAACCGGCGTTTGAGTGACATCGGTAAAGGGACGGCTTTGAAATTCACTTTCTCTAAGACTTCTTCAGGCAATGCCGAAAACCCACAGTCGAACATTTGGCGGTCGCACACAGGCCCTGGCGAAACTTCGTCTTGCTGGCTTTGCAAATTTCCATCTCTTCTCAAAGCGCCAGTTCGTTGGAGTGTTTTCCCAACGCTTTTCCGCGGTATAGAGGCCTGACTCCTCATCACAGTAGAAGCGGAATGGCGAGCCAGACGACTAGGAAGGTCTTGCATGTATGGTCTTGGTTCAACCATACTTTCAATGTTTCCCATTGGATACATCTCAAGCGATACAGTCTCCATTGCAAAAGTAAAATTCCAAATTTTCGTCTCTTAATGTCGGTTTAATTGACTACGGCTCATGAATGTCGGAGAAAATATTCACAAAATGAGTTATTTGAAACCAAGCAAATATGCGTCATCACCTATAATTGTGTAACCAAGACGAGTGTAAATTAACTTATCCCGATCGAATGTACGAAATGACGTGAATCGGGTCACCGCAAATAAAAAAAACAGTGATTTGAGAAAGAGTGATTTGTTTTTCTTGGTTTTTTTTGTTTTTGTTTTTGTTTTCGTTTTTTTTATTATCTTCTTCTTCTTCCTTTTTTATATATTCTTTTACGTGTTTGGTCAGTACTGAGCATTTTCTTTTCTTTTCTTTTTCGGTTTTGGTGGCCACTGGCCTATCCATTTTGGTTTGGTTCCTTTCCTTAGCATACCACCCTATTCATAATTTTGGGAGATTTTTAACTCCTCATCTTGTTTCCTATGGAAACATTTAACGGTCTCTGAGAGGTCTAGATGGCCCCTACATGATTTAAAAAAAATGGAAAACAGCACGTAAATATTTCAAGTTTTTCACTTGCAATCGTATCTTTAAATTATTTTTACATGATCATAAACTCTAAGAAAATGATATTGATTTAGTTCACACCGAGCAAAATCTCGTTAAGACTTTCTTTCTTGAGAGGGACTGGTAACAGAAATAGAGTTACGCTGCGCGAGCATAGTTTTGCAACACACCGCTGCAAACCTTGACTAATTTTCGTAAAACGTTAAAATATTGTGTTTTGTTTCTTTTGTGTCAGTATTTTGGCGGTTTTGATATGTTACAATGGCAGACATAAAAGCACTAGAATACTCCACCTTAAAGGTACGTACAAAGAAAATTTGAGACGTTCGAGAAACGTCGTTGCTTTTTGTCTATGTGAACTTCGTTTGCACATACGATTGTAAAGAAGTTATCGAGATATGACGCGTTTGTTATCAATTCAGAAGCGTTCTATTGCCAACTTAAATAACGCTGAATAAAACTCTGATGCAAAGTATGGTTTAAGAAAGGGAATTTCTAATTGCTTCGTCTAATGAAACACCAGCAAATGCTGTAATGTCGATGATGTGATTCATAGTACATGCTTACATGTAGTTACATTTGCTCTTACACATCGATCGCCAGCTCGCAATGCAAGACTTACACCTTACATGGTATTTATATTGGTTGACAAAAGCATTCGAGTGCAATCTAGAAGAAATAGGCGCAAGTTTATTTTTTAAAGACCGAGAAAGTAACTTTTAGTCCTTCAAAGACTAAAAGTTGGTTGCAAATTTCTTCCAAATTCCACGAGAAATATTCGATGAAAGTTGTTCATCATGTCAGATGTCTCCTCTGTCTCTCTCTAAACTTCTTTATCACAGTTTCAACTCTCTGAAATGTTCTTAGCAAATATTCTGGCTGAATTTTTTATATTTGCATGCATTATTATTGATGAACAATAATTGCATATTATTTACATCTTTATAATTTTTATATTCAGGTTCCATATGAGATTCTCAACAAAAAGTTTCGAGCAGCGCAGAAGGTAATTGACAGAGAAGTATCACTTGTGCACAGTGCAACTAATGATTTGACGAATGGTCTGGGCTCGGTACCAGTCAAGGTGGGTGAGATCACTGGCTTCCTTGATGGAGTGGTTCAAAAACTGCAATCACTGAAAAGAAAGGTAAGCTGTACTCCATGAGAGTTGTTGCTATGCTGAAAATTCACCAGATGAGTAAGAGATGATTGTTGGAATTTTTGCTGGTGATTGGTCATGATCAGTAAAGCACAATGTGCTTTCTGAGGTTACAATGATTCAATATTGAACACCATCTCTGAGCCCTCCTCACCTACAATTTTACTTGTAACAACCATGTAACAACATGTACATGTAACAACCATGCAAGTATAGACCAAAATAAAACATACAAGTAAGGTCAAATATATTTACTAGGTGTTAGGGTCAAGTCTCATGTATATCCTATTACTATGAGGCAATACACCACTATCAACATTTTATAAGAAAAGATACTAAATTCCTGTGAAAAAACCTAAGGAAATGCATGGAAATTCATTTTACAGTACATGTCAATGTAGATGTAGCTGTCACTGTGACAATTAATCAATTTGAATACAGGTATATTATTTATTGTATACATTTGCACAACAACACTGTGTAAAGCAGAGACTTTGGACTACAATAATTTGATTACATAATTTGAAGTGTTTGTAAGGGTAATTACAATGCACTGTCCCAATTGGAAAATTACAATGTGCGATTTACTTCTAGTCAGAAGAATGTCTTTCCCAAGAAGAAGGTTGCTTACGGCACTGTCGTGCACGCCTAGACCACATCAAAGAGCATGCAAATGGAAGAAAGAGTGCTATGTTGGTGTGGAAAAAGAAACGACTGGATCGAATGTTGGTGGATCATTGTCTTAGATCTGGGTACTATGAAACTGCAATTAAACTCGCAAAAGATTCACAAATTGAGGTGGGTTTGAAACAGAGTCAAGTCATTTACTTAAAGAAAAAGTTAAAATTTTTAATGATTGAAAAATACCATTCCATCAAACTAAATGTAGCTCTGTAAAGTAGGTTAAAAACTCTATGTTTTTCACAAGGTGTCATTTTGTAACCTTACATTATGATAATAAATGATCACCAGAAAGTACTATATGATTCAGTCACAATTTTTCGTTATAAAAAACTACAAAGGGAAAGTGTGGTAAGGATTGTCATCAGTTTTGTTCTTTTAGTTGTTACATCAGCAGGGGTACATTTGCATGGAGTTTGTGGTACATGTACATGACCACTCTGATAGCCTATTTTTTTAAACAATTAATAGTCAACAATAGAGAAATGAAAAGGTTTAGTTGTACATATTGATGAGGCATTTGTGTCAAGCTTATGTGTGCATATGCAAAATTTTGACACATATTTTTATTTCCACTTGCATGCAACTTTAGGCGCATTTTATGTGTGTTTTTTGGTTAACATGTATCTTAGTGGTACATGTATATGTATGTCACTTAGAGCTCTGCATTTACATACATGTACATGTAGCCACTCACTGAATTATATATTTATGGGTTGAATAAGCTGTTGTGTTCTGATGCATTTGTTCAATATTTTAATCACTTTAATTTTTTTTTATTATTTTCAAGGAATTCGTGGACATTGAATTATTCCTGGTCTCAAGGAAAGTAGAAGAGTCATTATTGAGGAGGGAAATTGGGCCTTGTCTAGCTTGGTGTTATGAAAACAAATCCAAACTAAGAAAATTCAAGGTAGATGTATTGTATTTTTCATTAAAAAAATTGTAATTGTGTGAACTGTTTTTTGGACGCATATCAGCAGTGTTTCCTGACTCAATATTTTGCGTTCACATTTGTCATGAATGCAATCATGACTCAGGCAAAGAAATTGCTCTGTACATTAAACCTGAACTACATGTGTAATAAGAAATGAGTTGTTGGTTTGTCATGAGGGAAAAGGAAGGAAAGAAAAACCTGAGTTATGAAGTTCAACATAAAATTCCAACTGCAGACTACAGTATCAAATTTTCTGGTTGATATTGGGGGTCCTGTATTGAGCTAGAGAAAACTGATTGTGATTTACATGTACATGTATTGTCAATGATCAAACTGGACTATACTTATTTCATTGTAGCTGTCAGTGACTTGCATACTGTGTATGCAATACTTAGGGTCAGTTGTCATGAGAAGTGACGTTATTTTTTCAACACAAGCAATGTTTATGAAGGGTTTTTGTCAAACTGCAAGACTTTCCTAAGTTTAACTCCGAAAAAAACATGAGCTGTTCAGAATGCTTGTGGCTTAATTTAAAGAATGAAGACATGACACTGATGATCCCTAAGGTGGCCTGCATTGTTGCACAGTCCAGTGTCTCGGGATCTTTTTGACAACCCTGGATTTGCTCTGCATATAATGTACAGTAATGTCTCAAAATCTTTTTAACAACCCTGGGTTTGCTCTGCATGTAATGTTTATGTTCTTCGTTGGTTGGCTAAGTACTGTAATCTATTTTGATTTTGTTTGATAGAGTAACCTTGAATTTAATGTGAGAATGCAAGAGTTTATTGAACTGGTGAGGAGAGGTGACAAAATGGAAGCAGTTAGGTAGGACTTTGATGTATCAAATGGAAATCTTCATTTGCATTCAGATGTGTTTGTATTTAATTACAATTATATTTCCAGATGAGTATACTTTGTGGGTATGTTCTGTTATGTACAGCTAACTTGTGAAATGGCAAAGCTATGAGTAACATGCAGCTGTTTAATGTCTTCCCCACTCACCTTTTCACTGAGGAAGGCTTCAGTACTAGCATGTAAATTGCTTAAGATGTTGTCCTAATTAAAGCACTTTGTGTGAGATTGTAATTATATTAAAGACCAGTTTTTCATCATGACAGAATTTTTTTGTACACAACTCATAGGGTACACTGTATTTATGCTACACGTACCTGTACCTTTGCTTAGTTGCTCTCTTTATGTCCACCTTTCCGAAAGTGAGAAAGTTTTTCTCATTTGGATCATTCATTTCACCAGTTCCTTCCTTTTTGGGGTTGCCTTTTAGCTGTGGAATACCTCTCTCTGAATTACCTGAGTTAAAGAAAGTGTTAATCATTCATGCTCATCTGGAGTCTTTGAGTTCATTGTAGGACCTTGGATGATGGTGATTAATGTTAATCATTATAGTACTTTTCTTTGATACTGTTACAAAAATGTTACAGTACATACATGTACATTCAGTGTATTGTCTCAAATCAAATCAAATTGTATTTTACTTTGCATGTTACACTTTTTGAACAGGTATGCTAGGAAGCATTTTCCTCCTGCAAATGTTGATGGTACAATGACAAAGGAGATCCAGAGAGCCATGGCTTTACTGGCTTTCAAACCAGGGACCAGCTGCTCTCCTTACAGGGTGAGTTACAATTCATCTCCTTATTTTTACATGTACAGTACATGGATGTCCTCTTGCAATGTACCTGTTGGTGCTTGTTACATGTAAGTTTGTTTTTTTGGGCTTTTTTCATTTGGGATTCTATGCTTCTGTCAATTTTTAATGGACTGTCTGTCCTGTTAGTCTTTCTGTGTATTTGTCCATCTTTCAACCCATCTGTTTTTGTTTCCTTTTCTGTTGTTGTAGTGTCCATTTATATGTATCAAGACAGTACTTGTTGTGTAGTATTTACATGTAGGTTGAATTTAGACAGAAATGATTTCAATCGTGTATGTACATGTGGGGACAATGTAATAATCCTAATCAATTTGTTAATGCTTTTAAACTGTGTAAACTGCAGGAAGATGCAGCATGAAACTATTCAACTTGAATTTCATTTAACCTACAACCTATACCTTTATCATTTCACTGCTGCTTTAAAAATTAATTTTTCAAGAACTTGATTTACCATTATGATAATTTAAAATGATCTCAGATTGACTCTTTTTCTGTGCTTTTGAGAATTCAATCGCAGCAAAGTTCATTGAAGCCTCTCTCTTTGCTGTTAGCTTTTTCTTCCTTTCTTTTTTTTTTCTTTTTGTTTTTTGTAGTTGTGTGTTTGTTACTTTTTTATCCTTGAAAATACAAGCATTTGTTTATTTGCAGGAATTATTTGATCTGGAGAGATGGGGTCAGCTGGTGATGCAGTTCAGGAGAGAGAATTTCCAACTTCACCAGCTTAATGACCAATCAGCTTTGGCTGTCACATTGCAGGCAGGATTGTCTGCTCTCAAAACACCGTATCTTTTATACCTTGGGTTTATGGAAGAATAGCTTTGATGTACAGTGATATTGAACATGTAAGCTGGCCATGCATAACATATACAAATATATCCTTGCCTTTTACAGGATAGGCTTTCAATTTTGAAGTGGCTGATTGGTATGTGCAGGGTAGTTTTGTTTGTATAGGCAGAAACATGACTTTGAGTGTAATTTGGTGTTAATAACCACAAGTAAATTTTTCAAAGATAACAAAATTGCACAAGCCTATAGGGCAAGTGCAGTTTGTGGTCTTTGAAAAGTTTACAATTGCCTATTACACCAAATTGCAAGAGGAATCATGTGATTGCTTGTTCATAATGTACATGGATAAACATCGCAGAAAGTTAAGACAGATGCAGAAATTTTGAAAGCATGCATGCACTATTTGTAATTTGCACTTGTGTTACAACGTTGCACTGGTGTTACATGAGAATGCACTCATTTCAGCCAGTCAGAAGCGCATAATTTTTACATGTACATCGTTACAGAAGCCATAGCTGTATAGAGTTGATCCTCCATGTGAATAACTTCTTTCCCCCCCCCCCCCACAGTGCCACCATTTTTTCAAGTTGTACCTCTTTAGGCTGTCCATGTATTTTCTTGTAATTTTGTTATGACCTCCCTTTAACAGCCACATCTTAACCCTTTCACTCCTATTGGTGATCAAGACAGAATTTCTCCTTACATTATCAATACAGTACTGAGCAGACAAGTGATGAGAATAAAGAAAAATATAAAATAGGGGAAAATTGGTTGATCCCATGCTAAATTCTCTGAAGTAATATCATTCAAATTATTGCTATATTGCGAGTTACTAATTAGATCCTAGGAGTCAAAGGGTCGACAGTGCCCTCTTCCGTCTGTCTGTATAGGGGCTAATTCAGAGTTTTAATAAAACTTGTAATAGTTGTTTCTAAGAAATTTTATACCTCTGGGAGATGTTATGTAATTCTTGACTTACACATTTGTCAGTCACTGTTATCAAGAGGGCCACAAGAGCTCTGAGTGTCCTGTCTGTAGTCACCCTCTGAACATCTTAGGGCGTCCTCTTCCGTACGCCCACTGCGCTCAGTCCAGGCTGGTGTGCCCCATGTCAGGGCATATCATGAACGAGAACAACCCTCCCATGGTACTTCCCAATGGATACGTATATGGAGAGAATGTAAGTTTAGATCCGTGTGTGATTGCGTTTTTTCGGTTTTTAACTGATTATCTGCCGTCTGAACACAACAATCATATGAACGCAGAGGTCAAGAAGCAAAAAAAAAAAAAAAAAAGAAGGGAATACTTTATACAGTTTTACATGACATGACTTACCGCTGACCACACTGCTTGTCTTTGAAATCGGGCAAAACGGGCAAAAGAAAATTGAAACTTAATAGAAATCTGTGAAGGGATACGAAAGTAGCGAAAAGGAAATTCGAGACAACACAAAGCTTATTCAAGTACGGGTATCCTGTTTAATTATCAAAAAAGTTAGACGCTTATAAAACACTGTGGCTTACTAGCTTGTGTGGTTGTTTCTAACTCGTGTGAGAAAACTTTGCTCTGAAAGCCTGAAAGCGCGCCACCTAGTCATTACATCGTTCGCATACACGCAGGCGTTTGACCGATGTGTCTATGGCTGGGAAGAAGAATTGTCTTTTGAAGGTTCACGCGACCTTCCAAGGCTAACAACCATGGAAGCGGTGTTCGGCCATTTATATGTACAGGTAGCATCCATGAACTTCTGGCAAATTCATGGGATGTTAGCCTCCTTCTGTATTTGTTTTAAAAAATTTTGAAGAGACTATTTTTATTCATTAATGTTTTGGTTTTCCCTCTCTTGTGAAGGCTTTACGGGGGATGGCGAACGAAAACGATGGTCGCGTTACTTGCCCTAAAACGAAGGAGACTTTTCGTGTGGATCAAGCTGACAAAGTTTACGTTATGTAAGCAAAACAAAACAACCTTCTCCTAAGAAATGTCAGGAGTTCCATCAAATTACAACGTGGCTTTGTAATGCTCCCGCTACGTCGCCTTATTTGAAATAATTATAAACTCATCCAAAGAACAAGGTTTGAAGATTTTCGTGGAGGAATGCTTTGACTTGGGAAGAAAAATCATTATGTTAAGAGCCACGCAAGTAATTTTACTTGTGTCAACAGAAGTTCCTCCCGTAAAAGCTTCAAACAGCCTCCTATAGCACACGTGTTATGAGTTTCAATGACTTTTTCCTTAAGCGACCGCCTATGGTGTAATAGGCGCCTCTGCCCCATAAAGGGGCCGTATATGGTGAACTCAAACATGATGGCCTACTCAAAAAAAAGTCTAGCGGTAGATCACCGGTTACTGGCCTTTATTGGAACCTCTGTATATGATATGTCGGCCTGACTTTTTCGTGTATTTTTCCCTCGAGCTGTGCTCTTAATTGTAAAATGGTTTGTTATTATGTTTTTGGCTTTTTATTATTGTTGCGATCATTTTTTAAGAGAAAAAAATAACGTGCGGGACTTGTTCTTGAGCGTAAAGATGAAGTTGCTGGTGGAGAGTATAACACGAGCAGTGTTTAGTTGAAAGTCATATTTGATTATAGAGTTCTTCAGATGTAGTAACCAAAATTTCAGAAGGAGAGAAAGATGAATTGCTGGCGGATTTTACACGAGCAGTTACATTTTGAAAGTCTTCTTAGAATAAGAAATTGTCCAGGTTTTAAAATAACCACCTTTTGCAGAAAGGAAAGTTAAAATGATACGGGTCTCAGGAGGGTGGCATTAACCGAACCTTGAAATTGGGATATCGATTGCTGTTGACACTTAAAGATAATTTCGTCTCCAAGTTGTATTTATGCTACTCCATTTTTGTAAGATTTAAATAAAAATTGAATCGAGCTGTTGTATTTCAGTTTGGGTGTTGACCATTCTAGAAACACATTTGAGTCTGCCCTTATAAAAATTCCCATTCCTTCTTAAAAATTTTAATTTTAACCGCAAGTTGGTACCTATCTACTTCCTCTCTTTTTTTACTGACACGGAAAGCGTCGTAACGATACAAATTTCTTCGAGGGACATAGTGGAATGAAATAATTAGGCGATGCAATTTAATTAACCAAAATTCCCGCTCAAACTAGGGTATGTATGTCAACCGCTATTGTCGCTGTTTCATGAGAGGCGATGTTACTATTTTTATGCGCTACCAAATTAAATATACATACAAGTATTCAACGGTACATGCACCTACGCTTTATTTGAAAAGGTCACCAAGAAATCGTTTTCTTTACAGACCTTTTTGTTAGTATTAAATACGAGCAAATCACAAACTTAAAAGGAATCGACTGATTGTTGTGAGAGGGGAGTTTTTACTTAAACCTCTTGAAGTGCTGCCACAATGGTTTAGTTAGACTGAACAACTTCTCTGAAATGTTTCCTTTCTATCTAGACTTTCAGTGCTCGCGACTATGTTTCTCCAACAATTAGATTCAATTACTGCTAAAGCATTTTTGGAAACATTCGAGTTTCAACGCATCTTTAAGATCCAAGCTTAACGTTGTTGGCTCAAGTGGCAGAGCACTGCCCAACAACCTGAGCCAACAAACCGATGTGGTAGCGTTATCGCAGACGTCATGGGTTCAACTGACGTAAAAGCCTGAGTTTCTTTTTAAGATTTTTTTTTTCGCTTAAGTGGTGGTCATCACGGTGCGATGATCACTCTTATCTTCATTTATAAGCCCACAATTAAAATACGTAATATATGATGTTCTTATATCTGACACTCGTTCGCGCGAAGAGCAGCGAGAATCCCAAAGCTTGGCCTGCAAAACTCTCCCTTCAGTTCCTTCCAAGATTTTGGTCACCAAGCGTCACTCTGTAGACCCGAATTACCCCGTTAGCCCCTAAAGACAATATGCTTATTCTCTATACTGCTCTCTGAATTTCCTAAGATGCTGACAAAGAGAATTTGTTTAACAATCAAGATCCTCATTAAATGGCGATCATCTTTCTTCTCACGACCCGAAAATTGACTTTAGAGAGATACTGTAGACAGAATTAGTCTCCTAGTCATTCTACAAGGTTAAGGAACAGTGGCAAGCGTTCAATGGGTGTACAGCCCCCATGGGTCTTACTGTGTTATAATGTTCAAGCGACAGGGCCCCTACCTACAAGCGGAATAATCTGTATAGGACGTGAGGCCTTACTCGAAGCATTCCCTTCCGGCATAACCGCGGGGGGTACTCGACACGGCCTGCTGGAGCAACCAAACGGTAGCAGCGCCAGCATATGCCTCCTGAAACGGTCACTCTGCCAGCTGTATAACACAGGATTGATAGCTGAATTAAGAGTGACCAAGACGATGCTTGTCATGTGTACGGCGGAGTACAGTTGCTGTGTGCTGAATGAAGAGATGACGTACACTACCAGGTTGGGTATCCAACAGATCGAGTAAACCACGCTTACGGTGACCACTATCCGAGCAGACTTTCTGGTGTAACGTAGCTTGCTCTGTTGGACCATGGTCGAGGTAACCAAAGGACGAAACCACAGCTTGTAAACCAGCTTAGAATACAAGTAACTCATGATGGAAATCGGTAGGGCGCCGTACATTACGGCGCTTAGTGGGCTGTGAACTTGCGTGATAGTCGCTGTGGGCCATTTGAACCGGCAGGACTCGCTAACAGGGTCGTAACGTGCATACAGGAAAAGGGGTAAGTTCCATAATGCGGCGAACGCCCAGCTGAATACAACAACACATTTTAATTTGGCGGTCGTTACCCGCTTACGCACGTCGTAGGGGAATTTAATGGCGAGATAGCGCTCCAGCGCTATGAAGACGAGGGAGAAAGCGGAGACGAGGGCTCCGACCCATATGAATGCTCCCCCTGTGAACAATTGGCAAACCACGTCACCGGCTCTTCCCTTCGGATGCTCCAACAGCAGGGGGAAGATAAAGCGCGCCGCGATGAAAATCGCTACAGTTATATCCGAAGCCGCAAGGTGGACCAAAAGATAGTTCATTGGGGTGCGCATTATTCGGTTACGGTAGACTACCAGGCAAACCAAGGTATTGCCGATGAGGTCCACAATTACCAAGAAGCAGAAAGCAGCAGTGATTCCAATTTGGGCGCCCTCTGAGTTTTTGTAAAAGGACATCTTTGTAGCTGTATCTCTACTCAAGAATGAAAACACAGCCTTACGTAAGTGAAATATGTGGCGTGCATGCAACTGAAAGGTCAAGAAGGAACAGCTTTTTCTGGCATACGATACTCGATACGAAATTTCAGATATTGGACTTGGCATGCGCAGAAATATTGAATAAAGGCAAGCTATCGTCTATGTGCTTGTACTTGTCAATCCATCTTTTTATTCAAAATACTTCACTCAAGCTTATATCATATTCTTAATCAAAACTGAAGCAAAATTCTCGATTTCAGGCGAATTTGACCACTGAAAGGACAGCGTGCGCTTCATGCTCGTGATTGGACAGTGTAGTAGGTCAGCACGCATCATGTACGCACGCTGTTGTGGTGCATTTCTTGGAGTCAACTTTGTTTTTTTTTTTTTTTTTAATTTATTTTGATTCAAATTTATTTTCGACCGAGACTTGGATCTCCTACGTTTATTGGTCCATCCTTTCGATTTGTGACGCACATCGCTCTCAGTTGGCCTTCATTTCCTTCATATTGATGAAGTGTTTACTCAATCAAAGTGTTCGTAAAACTTGACAGCGATCTTCGGCTTCTTTGAACTGCGAATGTTTCCATGGTCACTAAGTCAAGTCCAAGTAAATATTCCTCACACCGAAAATAGACTCCAAGTGCCCTCACTTCAAAGTTACAAGCTGTAGTTAGCAAATACTGTCTCCCTAATAATCGTTCTACAATGAAAACAACGCTGAATATCGCAGCTTAACTCGCTCTCCTAGTTTTTCTTTCCATTGATTTTGAAGATAAGACGTGCGTCCAAACTCCCTATCAAAAATTCGGCTTAATTTCCTTGAGGGCAGGTTTACCTTAGGGCAAAATAAATTGTCGGTTTTTTCAGTGGCTGTGATGTGTAGTGTACGTGAGACCCTTCAATTTTGCTCACGGACGGTGTCTTTTGATCTCGTGGTGTTCCGTTCTCTCTTGGCTCGGGTTAGTGATCAGTTTTTTGTCTCTTCCCCTCACGAGGAAAGCGACAACAACGGCGAAAAAAAATTGTTCAAAGACAGTTCATCGAAACTTTTGCTGTAATTTGATTATTTGATAAAATCATCGCTTTAAAGATGTCTGTGTTATACATGTTATAAGGCAATGGAAGAAATGCGAAATTACACCTCAACGTATGGAGCTGCCGTTCGGCAAAAAAACAAACTGTCAGGAAACAATCATGGCTAGATGATAACAATACGGATTCTGAAGCCAGAAGTCGGCTTAAAAAATTTTTCAATGTCAATGTCATCCACTGACTGACGACCAACTGGTTTTATTCATTAATCTTTGAACTAAATATCTATAATTATGATTGCTGTGTTTAATTTTATTAATGACGAAAAAAAATATTGCTTGAAACCATGCTTTACCAGCAGATTTCTAAAACACTTCATATGTTTTTACGAACCAACATAATAGCCAGCTCCCAGTTGGCTTGTTAGCTCAGTTGGTAGAGCACTGCACCAGTATCGCAAAAGCCATGGTTTCAAATCCCATACAGGCCTGATTTTTTTCAGAGCTTATTTTCACTACTGCTTAAATAGTTCTCATTACTGCGAAAATCGCGTTCATGTTTATTTCTTGATTAGCATTCAATATCAATGATTTTCGTGAATTCACAGTCATTTGAATAAGGATATCCTGCGTTCAACGTTGTTATCCGTGAAAATTAATTTTCTTTTCTTTTTTTGCCGGGTGATAAATTGAAAAAAACTGTGTAAATCGTTGAGAAGAGAAAAAAAAAAAAGAGATGGTCAAAACATGCTAATTTTCGCTACAGAAATGGTCACGTTTGCGGGTAAAATCTTTTCCGGCGAAGCTAGATTTGATGGCGTTGAAAAAAATCATTGACTACCTATTTTGTTCAAGATTGCCCCGACTTTCTTCTTATTGTCTTTGTAGATCTGTTCTTGTCATACCTGGGACGAAAAAAACCTTAGTTCTTGATACAAACTAAAAAAGCTTGATAACGTTTGAGAAACATGCTTGACGAACAGAGTCGGTGAATACATAAGAGGATACACCGGCAGAAGAAAAAAGATGGTGTTTTCCGTCTTGTCCAGGAACGTGGGACAAAGAATACAGTCCGAGTCCACAGGAGGATGCGAACCTCAGACCTTCTCACGATAGAGTCTCTGTGGCTCATCGGAGAACAGATCTGAATGTCTAAGGTTCAATTCCTCATGGGCACTCGGAATTCTTCCTGTCCCACGTTCTTGGAATGACGAAAAAACATCTCTTCATAAAAGAATAGTTATATTATTCTACGCATTCAATGAGAAATCTAACGAATACTACTGCCCCTGCGGAAGCTAGTGTATTCTAGGTATGTTCTTGAGCACGTGCCAACGCCACTGGCCTCTGGAGGCGCTGGCGTCTTTGTAGATCAATCAATAAACTACAATGTTCTTGAAAAGACTTCAAATGAGGCATTCCGAGTCCTTTGGGTTGAAATCTCTTTTGTCAACCATAAAAACATCGTTTGTGGAATAATTTATGATCAACACAATTCGCCCGATTATTTCCTAACGTATCTAGATAAGACAATAGAAATATTGGTGTCTGATGACAAGGACGTTTATATCATGGGTGATTTTAATATAGATCTACTCAAGTGTGAATCATCTCAAATAAGCCAGGATTTCTTACTCTCTCTTCGAAGCTCTTATCTTATTCCAACAGTGGACAAAGCGACGCGCGTTATGGAACTTCTGCTACGTTGATTGACGACATCTTCGTTAACAGTCCTTACAAACTCCTCGCTAGCGGAAACATTATTATTGATATTAGTGGTCATTTTTCATCACAACGTCAGCCAAAGATAAACTTAAACAAGTTAAAAATATAAAAGTACGTGACTATTAAAGATTCTCCGCTGATCGCTTTCACGACGAGCTGTCTGAAGTTGACTGGAATCGAATAATTGCAAATGGAACGAATTGTGTGAATAAATTGTTTTCATCGTTTTACAAAAAATATAATACAATTGTTAACAAACACGCCCCCATGAAAAAATTATTTAATCGCAAAGCAAAGCAGCTATCTAAACCTTGGATAACTATTGGGAATAAAGCGGCGGTTAAGGTTAAAAACAAATCGTATGTTACTAAAGAAGTCAGGTCATAGCTCCTGTTCTTTGGGAAATACTTATTACATCTATCAGATTAGGGACATAAGCTCAAAATTGCTAAAAATTACGCCAATATTTAAGAGTGACGATGATACTGACGGAAACAACTACGGACCTATCTCTTTACTTTCAAATTTTAATAGAGTATTCGACAAAGTTATTCATAACAGATTAACGAGCTATATATAGAAACACGAACTTTTGTATTCCTCACAATACGTCTTTCGTAAGGAGCATTCAACCCAACACGCAATATTAGATATTGCTAATGATATACAGACAAAAATGAATCAACGATTGCTATCTTGTGGAGTATTCATTGATCTTAAAAAGGCTTTCGACACCATCGATCACGACATTTTGCTTGATAAGCTCAATCACTATGGCTTTCGTGGATTAATTAATGATTGGTTCTTCTCATATCTTAAAAATCATCGCACGCAAACAACGCAAGTAGGCCATCAGATATCAGATAAAGCTGTCTTTGGACGTGGTTTTCCTCAAGGATCAATTATTGGACCATTGCTTGTTTTGCCATATTTAAATGATATCCACAGATGCTCGAATAAATTTAGGTTTTACCTCTTTGCAGACGACACTAATATTAATTTTTGTATGCGGACAAAAATCTGAAAGATCTTTAGACAATAGTCAACAATGAGCTACAAAATCGTTATAACTCGTTGACAGCCAACAAACTAACACTTAACATTAGAAAATCCAACTTTTTAATTTGTCATCCTTACCAAAAGCAACTTGCTTCCAACCAAAACTTTCCATGTTTGATGATGAAAAGAATAAATATGTTGGTTTCGAGTCTAAAGTTTACATAAAATACCTGGGCGTTTTTATTGACCAGAATCTCTCTTGGAAATATCACATTGATTCTATTGTTACAAAAATAAGTGAAAATGTTGGGCTACTTGCAAAGCTACGCCACTCTGTACCTCGACCAATATTACTGAATATCTTTAAGTCACTAATTCATTCTTATTTAACCTATGGTCTTGCTGCCTGGTGTCAGGCATGCAAGACTTATCTTAACAAAATTCCAATTCTTCAGAAAAGAGATCTTCGTTTGCTGTACTTCACAGACTGGCATTTACATCCAAATCCTATATTTCTCGAAACTAAGGTGTTTTAAATAACTTTTCTTTGTTATGAGTCCGTATCATCCTTAATGCACGATATCAATGATGATAAAACCCCAGCAAACATGTTAAATTTATTTCAGAAAACGTCTAATATTCACTCATACAATACACGATCGTCCACGTCTGGAAAGTTCTATGTTAAAAGTTCGAGACTAGAAATACAAAACAATTCTTTCTCTTGACTCGGAGTAAAGCTGTGGAATAGGATGCCAAGCTATATAACGAATATTCCAAAGAAAGCTTTCAAAAGACTTCTCCGCAAATTGCTATTTAATATCTTAGAAAAAGAGGATAACTATATTCAAATCCCCATGATTATTTAAAAAATTAGGTACATAGATACACTTGCGAAGGGTTAAATGTCTGCTTTTCTTTTTCTGTGTTATCATTTAGGAGTCAATGACTCCTTGTCTTTGGATGTTAGATGATTTGTGTCATTCATGTACTTGTCTTGCCCCGCCAGTTAGCTTTCCAGCTATTTGTAGGGCAAACTATCTCACTTTTCTTTTTTTTGTATAAAGAATAAAGAATAAATTGAGTGAAATTGAGAGAAAATCTGCTGATTTTCTCTAGACACATAATATGAAGGTATAGATGTTAACATATTTTCTTTAGATTTCGACTGGAGACAGTCTTCTACTTTTAAAGGTTATTTTATTTTCTGGCATCGTAAGAACGTAGAGACCTTGTAAATATGCTGTCAATCATTATTATTGTAAGTGATCATCTTATCATCATTATTATTATTTTCATAAATATCAAAATTA